CCGGATGGCTTTCAGTGCATTGAGCGTCACCGTTCCCTTCTGGAAGTGTACCAGGAAAAGGCAATCCGGATACGCCTTCACATTCACGTCTCTTCTTGTCATGCGATAGACGGCACTTGGGGCCAGCTTGTACCTGTCCCTGATTTCATGTTCGATAAACTTCGGGTCGAAATAAGACCCTGATGGTAGGCCCCTGATGACGACCTTGAACGGTTTTTCACCGGGGATGTCGTGGGTAAAGAATTCCACCTTGGAAGTCCTCAGGTGGGCGATGACCAAGTCATACTCCGCTTTGGTACGGAGCACCGCCTTGGTGCCGACTCTGCCCAATTTGAATTCGGTTTTGACGCCCAGCGACGCCAGATCCGCGATGAGCTCGTTGAGATGGGCATTTTTCACCACCAGCGGAGGTAGCTTCACTCTTGCCGCGCTCATGTCAGCAGCATTTTCTTTATCGGCAGCGTCACCGAAATCTCCGTTCGTCGCAGAGGCATCGTCTCGACCAATCGTGCCATCAGACTGGCCTCGGTTCTTCTTCCTTTTCTTGCTGCGTTTTTCCAACACAGCAGGCTGGATATTTTTTTGTCTTTGATGAGTTGATGGCAAGTCCAATCCGCCTAGCTTCAGGCTTCAGTCTGATGTACGTTTCCGCCATCGTCTCAAAGCTCATTGCCATAATGTCAATGTCATCGGCGAAGCCAAGAAGCTGGATCGACTTCCTGAAGATCGTGCCACTCGTATCTATCCCAGCTCTTTTGATCACACCTTCTAATGCGATGTTGAATAGCAGACACGAAAGTCCATCACCTTGCCGTAACCCCCTTCGAGATTCAAAGGGACTAGAGAGTGTCCCAGATACTCGAACAGCGCACATCACTCGATCCATCGTCGCCTTGACCAATCGCGTCAGTTTATCCGAAAATCCGTACTCGTGCATAATCTGCCATAGCTGATCTCGATCGATTGTGTCGTAGGCGGATTTGAAATCGATGAACAAATGATGTGTGATGTGTGCAGCGCTCTAGCCAGTGCTTCACTACCGTATTTTAATAGCTCACTTAGTAGTTAATCTACACCAGTTGCTTTGTTGTTCTTCAGCCGACCGATCACCTCCTCAACTTCTTGAAGATCAGGGGCCGGTAGCCTGTCGTCTTCTGCGCGTGCTCCAAGGTATGTTGCCGTGCCACCTCGTTTTCTGCTGCTGCACCGTTGAGGTGCTCGTCATAGTACTGCTTCCACCTCTCAATCACCTCACACTCGTTCGTGAGAAGGTTACCGTCCAAGTCCTGGCACATATCGGTTTGCGGCACGAAGCCTTTGCGCAAACTATTTAGCTTCTCATAGAACTTCCGTGTGTCGTTTACGCGGTACAGATTTTCCATCGCCTCGCGATCTAGGTCTTCCTGCTGATGCTTATTCCTTCGGAAAACCGAGTTTTGTCTGTTCCGCGCTTGTCTGTATCTCTCCACATTCAATCTCGTGCGGTATTGCAGCATTCTTGCCCTTGCTGCATTCTTCTCCTCTACTAACAGTTTGCATTCGCCGTCAAACCAGTCATTTCTTCGGTCCGGGATTGCAGTACCTAGTACCGCTGCAGCAGTACTACCTATGGTGGAACGGATGTCCCTCCAGTCATCTTCAAGAGAAGCTGCGCCAAGCTGCTCTTCCGTGGGTAGTGCAACTTCCAGCTGCTGCGCGTAGTCCTGGGCAACTCCGGCGTCCCGTAGTTGCTCAATGTTGGGTCGCGGCGTTCGACTTCGACGGGTGTACCGTCGAGAGTTTTGAGCGCATGCATACTGCAACTAGGTAGTGGTCCGAATCTATGTTCGCACTGCGGTACGTGCGGACGTTGATAATGTCGGAGAAGAAATTCCCGTCGATTAGAACGTGATCGATTTGGTTTTCTGTGTGTTGGTCAGGTGATCTCCAGTTGGCTTTGTGGATATCCTTGCGGGGGAAAAACGTACTTCGAACTACTGCAACTACAGGTACTTCGAGAGGCTGCAAAGTTCACGCTTCGTTGGCTGTTGTCGTTTGATACGGCATGCAGGCTGTTTGGCCCGATTGCCAGTCTATACATTGCCTCCCGTCCTACCTGAGCGTTCATGTCGCCGATGACGATTTTGACGTCCCGTTGCGAACAGCCGTCGTACACCTGCTCCAGCTGCGCATAGAACGCTTCTTTCTCGTCGTCGGGTCTCCCTTCGTGTGGGCAGTGCACGTTGATGATGCTGTAGTTGAAGAAACGGCCCTAAATCCTCAACTTGCACATCCTCGCGTTGATCGGCTGCCAACCAATCACGCGTTGGCGCATCTTACCCAGCACTACAAAGCCGGCTCCCAGCTCGTTGGTGGTTCCACAGCTCTGGTCCAAAGTAGCCGCTCGATGCCCGTTTTTCCATACCTTTTGTCCCGTGCAGCAAAGTTCCTACAGTGCTACGACTTCGAAGTTGCGTGGTTGAAGTTCGTCATAGATTAACCTATCGCAGCCCGGGAAGCCAAGCGATTTGCTGTTCCATGTTCCGAATTTCCAATTGTAGTCCTTATTTCGTCGCGTAGGTCTGTGCCGATTGTTTAGATCCGTATTTCTTTCTTCAGTATTTGCAACTTTGTTTTTTTTTCAGGCCAGCTTGTTGGGCCTGCCCCAACCCCCTGTCTCACCGGGGGACCATCGTTTAGATTAGATTCCCATGCTGGCACTAGGACGGTGATCAGCCGCTCCAAACATGGAGAACAGACGCCGTTTTGAACCGCACCTCCATGGTGAACAGACGCTCAGTGCACAAACACCTGGAAAATCTGGAGTGGTCCGTTTCCAAGCTGACTAAAGTGCTGAAGATGCCGAGGCCAACAATTTATCGAGTGCTCAAAACTCTGACTGCTCAGTTGACCTACGAAAAAACTAGGGACCAGGGATTGTCAGGTGCGCAGCAAGGTGTTGAGGTGCATTAAAGCCAACCCCGGTCTTACGATCCGAGATGTGGCTAGAAGGTATAACGCCAACTTTCAAACGGTGTGGAACATCCTTGCCAGGAAAGGATACAAGTCGTACAAAGAAAGTAAACATCCGAACCGGCACATGAAGCAGAATACCGTGTCCAAAAAGCGTGCAAGGCTCTTGTACGACAAGGGCTGTACTTTGATCGATGACGAAATATACGTCAAACTCGATTTTAAGCAGCTTCCCGGTCAAAAGTTTTACATCGTGAATGGCTGTGATGATGTGCCGGGAAGATTCAAGTTCGTGTTTACCGACAAGTTCGCGAGAAAGGCCATGATTTGGCAAGCGATTTGCAATTGTGGCCTGAAAACGGAACCATTCGTCAGCTGTTACCACTCCAAGGTGGTTCTGTAGTTGTATACTGCCAACAAGGTCGATTTTGTCCCCAAGCTAGTGAATCCTTCGAATTGCCCGGAATTTCGACCAATAGAAAAATACTGGGCAATTTCAAAGCAGCGACTTCGACGAAGCGGCGGGGCAATCAAGGACTTCCAGCAAATTCGGGAAAATGGAAGAAATGCACAGATTCCGTGTCCGTTTCCACTGTGCGGGCTGATGGGCTCCATCAAGAGGAAGGTTCGAGATTTCGTTCGAACTGAACGAAATAGAAGTACTGTATAGCAACCATTAATGGACTTTTTAAACTTATTGAATCACGAATTACAGGTCTTTTTGTGCGTACCAATTTACTTCTAGTCAGCCTTTACCTACACCAGAGCATGAGAGAGCATGCAAAGGAGCGTGAGAGAATTTCAAACATTCTATTTAGATCAACCACACGTTTTATCCCATTACGAAATCTTTTTGTCTTCACGTGTTGAAAAAAGCTGTCACTCTTGTTTGATGTTTCCTCAAACACAATATACACACAAAAACAGTGCGCAGCCCACAGCGAGTGTTTGCAAAACAAAAATGCTATCCACATTGATCCAAGACTCGAACCTATGAAAAACACCCCATCATGCTGAATCGATCGAACACAACCCCCGTTTTAACGATCGCTAAACGGAACCCAAACAAACCGCGATCGTCATCAACATCAACAACAACAACATACCTACATGCAGCATGGTCAAAACATAAGCCCCAAAGAAACCAGTTTCCTCCATGCAACAGCACCAGCTTCGGCCGTCGTCGTACCGCGCTTCGTGAGCAAAAGTGAATGGCGCTAGCTGGTTGCGACGACCGACCGAATCAGTTTGTGTGGTACTTCCGAGCGGTGTGAACGTCTCTCTGCTCGCGCGTTATTTTTTTCGGTTGCAATTTTAGTGGCTCCTTAAAGTCAGCTTTTACGGTGCACGTGATATCTCGCTGCCGTCGACGTCGGTTTACCTTTGAACGCGTGTGTTGGTGTGTGACATTTTCCTAGCGTGATCAAGTTGTTCCGACGACTAGATAGGAGCGTATTGGTGGTGTTCTTGAAGGAGTTTGGCACTCGGATAGGTATTCGTTCTCCGTGCTCCACGAGGGTGGCCCAGTTCTAGTTGAAAGGCAAACCAGGAAGACGTTGAGCGGGTGGATCGCGTGTGGATAGTGGTGGAACCAGTTTCTCTCGACTGCGAGTGTTCGTACGTGCGGAGACTTGAACAGGCGACGAACCTGGAAGAGAGCTGAGCGGCAGAAAAAAAAATAGAAAGGAAAAAGTGTCCCACTGAAGGCAGCGGCCAGTGTGCGGCGCTAAATGGATAAGTAAATAAATCGAAATCGCTCCAAGTTGTGCAATTTGCGTCCGCTGACAACTGCTAGCAACTATCACACGCGAGAAGAGTTCGATCCGCAGAAAAATAAAGGAAGTTGATAATCGAGGTAAAATCAAATTTAATTTTTCGAAAGTGATAAACAAGTGGCGATTGTGCTCGGGTCCGATTTCTAGCAGTGTGTTTGTGTCCCCTTCACTTGACGCCCCGTGCGATCTGAATGTGTCTCTAAATCGCCACAGCAGCACCAGAAGTGCTTTTGTGAAACAAAAGTGTATTTTTCGAGGGTTCGTCGCTTGTTTTCGATCATCGGATTGCAGTAGTCCTCTCGAGCGGCGAAGAAAGGAAAAGTGAGATGATGAGAGATCATCATCTGGAGCTGTTGGAACGGCGACGCCGGAGAAGATACCGCCATCGGGACGATGGCGGTGGTGGTAGCGGAGGCGAAGGTGGATCAGCTGCACGAAGACGACGCCGGTGTTGGAATGCTGCCAACGTTTTGGCGACGACGGCGCTGTCGATTGTTGCGATCATCGTGAGCAACTGGGCCGGTGTGAATTGTCAAGGTGAGTTTCGGTGTTTTGTTCGCAGAGGCAATAGCATTTACCTCAGAGCAGTCGATTGTAACACTACTCGAGCTGAACCACTGTGCGAAACCGACCAAAGACCGGTCCGTCGCGACGGTGTGTGTGTAGATCAGAATGGCTGTTTTTGTGATTTTCGTTGAGGTTTGTTGATGGCTGGCTGCAGCCAGCGATATTTGAAAGCTTGAGAACGAACGAGTTTCTGTTCTGCAGTTCAGTACGAGGCGGTGGAACGATTTGCATTGATTAGGTTGGGGGATTTTCTAGAAGTTTTGCCACTGCGGTGTTTGCTCAAATTTAGCAGCTAAGTGCAGATTTTAACAGTTCTACGTTCAGTTGAGCATGATAATTCCTTTGATTGTCCGACGCATCGAAAATTGTGAAACCGTCAACCGTTATCATGTGCTCGAAGCCAGTGAGGGGAAGGCCCTAAATTAATTGCTGCTAAGTATCGATTCCGTTGATCACGATCGATATGCGCTCCGGTGACAAACGGATCCAGAAGCACTAATCAGTCTATTTTGACATGCAACTGGATTATACTGGTGAAAAATGTTCAGCAAACAGAACCCATGGCAACACATGGCTTCCTTGTTCAAAATCAGTTATTTTTAGTTTCTCGAAATGATGTCAACCGTTTCCGGAATTGACATCGGCAAGAGAATCCACAGATCAAATTCAGGGGACTTGGGAAGGGCAAGTATCAGACCTCTCGATAGCACAGTCTACGGGTTATCATACACCCAACCTTTTTTTACGTAAGTAAAATTACGATTATTTCTGTTGATTATGATTGAACATTGGTTTAATATTTTAATTGATTAGCCTACCTGTTTGTTTAATAGGATATTCTAATTTAATGTTTCCGTTTTTCAACTAGGGTAAATGTCGGCTTCGGCACCCATTGACTGTTTTCGGCAACCAAAATTTAAACGTTAATTTCACTATGTTTTACGATCAACACACTTCCCTGAATGTATCCAAACGATTCTTTAGTCTTTCAGCTTCAATCTGATTATATTTGTAGGACCGAGCAATCCTGTTATGCCAGATTTTTCTTCAAATGAAGAATACGTACTACAAAATGGGGCTGATTTCGAGTTGCCGATAATAGAACAGCTGGTTAACACGCAGTTCTAATGGGAAGGTTGCCGAAGAAAAAGAGGCTGCCGACAATAGTCACACTCACCTGAGAAGTTTAGAGCGTTGTAAAAACGCTTTCAAACAGTTTTAAAGAATTCTGTCGATAGGAATGGATAGAGAAGCAAGCAGCAGATGAATTGAAACAAACAGACACGTCATATATGTACGTGACGCTGTGAAAATGCTAATAGAAGTGCGGACGCTGCTTAGATTGACGAGAACACGTAAATTCCCCTATTTTTGTTAGAATTGAAAAAAATGTGATTACCGTTTTAACTACGAGTATAACTTAACCTAACGTACTAGATCACGTATGATCTGTTGATCTGATCTCAGACAGGTGTCTCTGAACCTCTCCAGGATGAAAACTCTCCGTTCTTCTAATGTCTGAATTCCAGCCAGGAGGTGGATTGCAGAATTTCGAGTCCGCGGTGGACTGTTTAGGATTATCCTAAGAATCTTGTTCTAGATCCTTTGCAGTTTGAGGTGATGGCATTTGGAACAACTCTCCCAGATTGACATATCATACTCAATAACAGGTAGGATTAGGTGTCTATAGAACAGTAAGCTTATTTTTCAGGGATAAGGTGGACTTCTTATTGATAAGTGGATACAGTGATCTTATCAGAATGTTGCACTTGGTGTTAGTTTTGTCAATATGCTCTCTGAAAAGAAACCTGCTGTCTAGTGTTAGTCCGAAATACACAACCTCTTTGGACCATTCCACCACTGAGCCGTTTACGCATAACTTATTATTCTCAGACGGAACAAGTCTTGGTGATTGAGAATTTTGAAATATGATGACCTGGGTCTTCGTCGCGTTGATACGGACCTTCCAGGTGTTGAAATACTCAGACAGGACATCCAAGCCTCTCTAAAGTTTGGCAGTAAGAGCTCCGATGACCCGTCCCTTGTAGACGATGGATGTGTCATCTGCAAACGGAAGTCGGAAGGGAACAAATTGAAGAGGATGGGCCCAAGGATACTTCCTTGTGGAACGCCCGGACCAATGTTGAAGGCATCAGAAGTGATGCCATTGAGCGAGACTTGAAATGTTCTGTTCGAGTGGTAATTTTGGATGATCTTCACGAGGTAGATTGGAAGACCGTAAGACCGTAATTTGTACACGAGGCCATCATGGCAGACATTATCAAACGTTTTTTCAACGTCCAACAATACCATGGCAGATGTTTTAGATACCGACTTGTTCTGCCTAAGAATATTACTTACTCGAGTTAGTTGGTGAGTAGTCGACCGACCTTGTCGAAAACCAAACTGCTTCTCTAGTAAGATGTTATTTTCTACGGTAGATGTTAGAAGACGCCGGCAGATTGCTTTTTCAAGAAGCTTTGATAACCCTGAGAGAAGGCTGATAGGTCTGTAGCTGGAGGGAGAGAAAGAATCCTTCTCAGGTTTACGGATGGGTATGACTTTGGCTAGCTTCCAGCACGAGGAGAAGTAGCCAAGCCTAAGGTACTGATTAAAAATCAGTGCTAGGTAATTATAGCTCGTATGTTCAAGATGTTATCGAAACCTGGAGCCTTCATATTTTCGAAAGACTTGATATAGGCTAACAGTTCGTCAGCTGAAATCTCTGAAACACCGGGGATATTGTTGGGAATCAAATTCAGGTTGGCTGCGTTTTCAGCAACAGCAGCCTCATGTGGACTAATCATGTTTCGTCCGAGATTATGAGAGCTGACGAAGTGTTGGCAAATCACAGCAGCCTTCTCAAAAGGAGTTATCAGATGAACCACTGACGATTCAGTAAAACTAGCGCTGGAATGAGTCTGGGCCTATTTTTTAAGATTTTGATTAGCTTCCAGAAAGGCTTTGCACAATCTGGGAGAGAACGGATCTTATTGTAAAAATCGTCATTTCTACGATTCATCATCCTGGCCCGAATGATCTTTGTTAATCGATTACAATTGGTCTTCAAGTTAGGCTGACCAGTACGCTGGTACTGCATACGAATGGTGCTACGGAGTCTAATGAGCTTCCGAGTGTTACTCACATGTCTGGATACTAACACGTGTTGTTCCCTGGCCCGGGAAATCGCCCCCTCGATGATCTGTAGACACCGGTCTACATCTTCGGACGTCCCCGGTTGGACATCGTAGTCGATGGTTGTGTCGACGCAGTGTTGATGTTGCGCCCAGTTGACACGATGGTAGTTGCGCCGGGAAGCTTCGAATCAGTTCTCCGAGGTACACACTTCGGCCACCACCGGATAGTGGTCCGAGCTGAGTTCTTGGTAGACAACCGATCGTGGGATGTGAGCCATGTTGCTGATGTTGATGCCGATGGTGTGAGCACCGGACCGACTCAACCGGGTGGGAGTGTCCGGACTCAAGTCTGCTGCCGATCCGTCCCTAATATTGACTTATTTGGGGCAGTAAGCCGCAACAATGGTGATAGGGCCGACAGGAGTGGAAACTTCCCCCCTATGGCTTCGATGGTCTTCAGCTGAAAGCTCGGCAGCAGCCGACAGCAGATGTTTAGGGCGATGGCCACTCCTCCTCACCCAGAACTGGTTCGATCTAGCCTCACAAGCCGAAAATCGGGAAGGTAGACGTTAGTTGCGGGCCTCAGGTGGGTTTCAGTTATTACGGCAATGTCGATGTTTCGTTCATTGAAAAACTCAACGAACTCGATGTTGTTGCTGTTGAACGAGCAAGCGTTCCAGTTGACTAGCTTCAACACTGCAGAGGCCGTACTCGATGACGAAAAGGCCCAGAGTAAAATCTGGTCGTAACGGGGTTTGCAACTGCGCAAACGTTTGGCAAGCTGGGTGAATACGGGGATCAGTTGCTCCGCTGTGAACAGAGCATCTGTGTTTTCGTTCGATGATGATGCATCATCCTGACGCCTGGATAGTCCGGGAGGGGAGGGGGGACGTGCTATGGGATGCAACGGTTGCAGCATACGTTTAACGATTCGTGTATTCGGGAGGGTTGGGGACCCCAGCAGTTGACGAGACTGTTGCAGCAGTAGCAAGGTGGTTGTTGATTGGAAGCGGCGGAAGCACCGGAATTTGACGTCGTTGATGGATGGCAGGACCTTTTGCGGATTGCAATGAGCTCCGCACGTTTTGGACACGACTTGCTAGTTGCCCGATGAGCAGCCTCACAATTGGCGCATGTTGGGTCGGCGTTCTCCATCACGTAACAGGCAGTGAGCGCCGGCTGCTTGCCACAATCGTCGCAACGGTGGGCCATATGGCAATTTTTTATGCCATGTCCGAACAGCAGGCAGTTTGTGCATTGGGTGACGTCACGGTGGACGGGCTTGTACTGATCCCATTTCACCACTTTAAAGGTTAAATAAGAACCAACCAACCAATCAAACCAAACTCGATTACGACGACTGGGTTGGGGAAAATATTTTTTTTTTGTTACATTAAAACAGTGACAAAATTATCACTTTTATTCTACACTTTTCAAACGTTTTTTATGGGAAATTATAAAGTATTCATTTTAGCAGATCCAAAACGTAATTGCCTATCGATTGGTCTATTTGGTTTTTCATTTCATCTATAAATTACTAAATTATAAGCGTTCAAAACCTAACACCTTTTCGTGACGATTGCAATTTTAGATTTTCTATTTACCCTCTGATCCGTAAGTCGTAGTCTACGTCAAAAAAGGATGAATTTCATTCAAATCTGTTAACATTTGTATTGGTATTTGTCACAACTTATAACAAAATTGGTCTCAAGTCGCATCTTTCAAATCATATTTTTCAATCTAATAGTAAAACGTTACCGTTTCAGTTAATTTTGTTAAGGCTTATCTTAAGGAGCTTCTTTGATTTTTGTTAGAATTCAGTTGTAATAGTAC